TTTATTTGTTTATGCCATTGTTATATCATTGCAAACTTGTGCAAATTTATTTCATACTTTTGGTTTATTGTTTATTTTGTTGGTCAAATATTCTTTCTGCTTTGACGATCTACAGTCTCTCCTCGTTAGCCTCTGCATTCTTTTGACATGCCCCCAGCGTTGTTCTAGCACTTGCTTAATTTTTTCTTCTGTCATCCAAAGATGTTCCAGGCTAGCATGAAATAGAATTTAAGCAACACCAAATAAGTAAATGGAACAGAGGTGAATTTCGTTTTCATCTAAAGTACAGTCTTTCGAGATCTGAGTCTCAAACTCATAGGCAACTAACAACGTAGCTTTTGAATACGTAAAGTCAAAACGGGTAGAGATTGTCACATCCGGACGGATATCTGTTGGTTTCTACTTGGTCAGCGTTTACTCCTTGCTGCGCATGCATTTCAGAGAGGAAAGCTACCTTCCCAAGAGACGGCCCAAGTCAGTCCATCTTAGCACAGTTCTGTTCAATGTGTCGTGTTTTGAGCGTGAGCAGAAAGTGTGCACAGCTCCAGACAACCACGTAACATGAAGACGGCAGTGAGCATCGTGGGGAATTAGATCTGTGTTCTGAGTTTGTGAGCAGCAAAGGGGTGTCCTGTTGAAGGAATAACTGGTTGTGTGCTAAGTGTTCACCTGCTGCCCTAGTACCTGGCACCTGCCTTTTCCAGGGTCATCCTCTCGAAGGTGTTCGACGAGGTCATTGAAGTGAATCTAATCAACAGTGAGGACTACGTCCACCTGGCCTTTCTGAAGAGACCTGAGCTTGGGGTCACCCTCACCAAGCTGCACTGTTGGACGCTCACGCATTACAGCAAGTGCGTCTTCCTGGACGCCGACACCCTGGTGAGTGCACGGGAACAGGTAACACGCACCCCTGTCTCTGACACGGATGTTCCGTCCATCAGAATCAGATATAACACGCCCACGAGCACCATGCTAGACCCTGCTGAGGACAATAATGGATTTGAAGATGTCTCTGTTCCCCAGGAGCTGTTCATAATTACATTATTTCACCTACACAAAATAGAATAATTAGAACTTTTAAGACAGAGTCTTGCTCTGTTACCCTGGCTGGAATGCAGTGGCATCATCGTAGCTCACTGCAGCCTCCAACTCCTGGGCTGAAGAGATCCTCCTGCCTCAGCCTCCCAAGTAGCTGGGACTACAGGTGTGCACCACCATGCCTGGTTAATTGGCTAACTTTTCTATTTTTAGTAGAGACGGGGTCTCACTCTTGCTCAGGCTGGTCTTAAACTCCTGACTCCAAGCGATCCTCCCGCCTCAGCCTCCCAGAGCGCTAGGATTAAAGGTGTGCACCACCTCGCCCGGCCAATAATTAGAAAACATTTTTTATCTTGATTGTATGTTGAATTTTATGGTTCTGATTGGACTGGTATACGTGACCTCTTAATCAATGGCATCCCCCGATTGTCATTTGGGGTAGTGACTTACAGTGTGGAAATTCATGATGGTCAGTTTCAGAGACAGCCATTGGAAAATGAAAACATGAAATGAAGTTGGGGTGTTGGCAGTCAGTTCAGAATGCCTCGGTTCAACAAAAGTAGCTCCGTAGAAAGAGGAAAACAAGAATGATTGAGTAATCGGAATAATGGCTTTTTCCGCCCCAAAGTACCACCATTTAGAAAGTCACTGTGTGTTAGGAGAAACTACAATTAGTAGTCAAGCTCTCCAGGGGGATCGATTACTCTATATTGAGTTTCAAACCTCTCCATTCACGGGTTTCCTTGGTCACATTGGCTGGAGATGTGGGGATATACAATTAAGATAATTCCGTGGAGGATCTTAAAAACCTGGAGAAAATGATTTAATTTCAGAAAGCCGTACTCCAACCACTTGGAATACACAGCAGAGCAGTCACAAATGTTTTTCATTAGAGCATAAGCCTAGAAGTATTAAGAGAGTCCCTCTTAAGAATTGGGAACAGGTTTGCAAGCACCAAAGCTTTCTTTTCTCTGGCCCATCCTGCTGCATTCTTCGTGGCATGCAGGCAGTAAGCAATGCTTGTCTGCGTGTTCTCTGTGTTTGGCTGTACCAGGTCCTGTCCAACATCGACGAGCTGTTTGAGCGGGGAGAGTTTTCCGCAGCCTCTGATCCCGGGTGGCCGGATTGCTTCAATAGTGGGGTGTTTGTCTTCCAACCATCTCTGGAAACGCATAAACGCCTGCTGCGACATGCCACCAAACATGGCAGCTTTGACGGTAAGCGAGGGGCACCTGGAAATTCGGGGGAGAGGACGGGGCTGTTGGCGATACCCAAATGCCTGCCCCAGCCCATTTGCCCTGTAATCGCAGCACTCTGGGAGGCTGAGGCGGGAGGATCGCTTAAGGTCAGGAGTTTGAGACCAGCCTGAGCAACAGTGAGATCCTGTCTCTACTAAAAATAGAAAGATTAGCTGGGCATCTTATTGTACACCTGTAATCCCAGCTACTGGGGAGGCCGAGGCAGGAGGATCTCTTGAGCCCAGGAGTTTGAGGCTGCAGTGAGCTACGATGACGCCACTGCACTGCAGCCGGGGCAACAGAGCAAGACTCTGTCTCAAAAAAAAAATTTAAGAATTCTCTAAGGAAGTATGCATCTGAGAGAACCATCAAAAGTATGCTTGTTGACTTACAGAGAACAGCTCGATGGTGCCAACCATATAGAATAGGTGTGCAGAGCTTTCTTTAAAGGGCCAGATATTATTAACTGCTGTTGGTGTTGCAAGCCACATGGTCTCTCTTGCAAATACTCAATGCTTCAAATGTAGCGTGAAATCAGCCACCGACAATACAGCTCTGTGTCTCTTAACGGTGTGGACGCATTCTGAGAAATGCATTGTTGGGCGATTTTATCGTTGTGTGAACATCCTGAGAGCCCTTACCCAAGCCTAGATGGCATTAGCCTACTAAATGGTGGGAAACACATTGTCAATACCAGGTAGAATTCATTAGGGAAATGAGTGGAACTTCAAAGACAATATGCAATCTAATTATTAATTTTTTGCATTATCGGTGGAGAGTTTTGGAGAGAACGTACGCTTATTTTTATCAATAGCTTGCGTCCTTTGAGTGGACTGCGTCGAGCTTCATTAACCTCTTTTTTGCATTTGCTGCTTCTTCAGGGGCAGATCAAGGCCTGCTGAATACTTTCTTCAGTAACTGGTCCACGGCAGACATACACAAGCACTTGCCGTTCATCTATAACTTGACTAGCAACACCGCGTACACGTACAGCCCCGCCTTCAAACAGTAAGTCCTGCAGCGTGAGCAACGCGCTGCTCTGCCGCCTTTCTCTCTCGGAATATATATCAGCCATTGGCATAGTGGGAAAAAAAAATAGTGGGCAATTTTATCGTCGTGTGAACATCCTGAGCGTCCTCTGCAAGCCTAGATGGTATATCCCGCTAAACGGTGGGAACCGCCTTGTCATCGCCAGGTAGGATTCACTGGGGAATGCGTGGGTGAACTTCACAGACAATACGCAATCTTATTATTAATCATTATTAATTTTTGGATTAATGGTGGAAAATTGTATATCCCTTGCTTGCTTAAATTGCTATAGATGTTAGGTAGCCAAGGGTTCATGACAGGGTTCCCCAAGTGTTGTCCAAGGGGGTTCCCTTCAACTCTTCCAAGTGTCTCCAAAGTCAAAATTGCTTTAAGAAAAAACAATTACAAGATGCGATTTTCCCTTTTCACTGCCATTTAATCATGAGCGTACGATGAGATTTTACGGACACCACATGGCGTGTGATTAACACAATGCGATGGACATCACCAAGGAGATGAGTTTTCTCCTCTGAAGACAGTCGATGCCATGCTTCTCATAACGTGTTTTGTGGAAATATAGTTTTTTTTGAGTGTGAAAAAATAGGAAATTTATGTTAATGTATCATGTATTGAATTTTTTTAATGAATTGATATAGATTTTCTAATTTCTCAATCGTAATTGCTATTATGGTAACTATGGGTAGATAAAAGCTACGTGGACATAGCTTTTTTTTTCCTCCCATACAGATGGGGTCTCACTATGTTGTCCAGGCTGGTCTCGAAGTCCTGGCCTCAAGCAATCCTCCCTCCTCGGCCTCCCAAATTGCTGGGATTACGGGCGTGAGCCATTGTGCCTGGCCATGAACAAACTTCTTTGATTTCTCAATAATATT